ACCCTGCCACTGTGTGGCTCTGTTCTCCAGTCTGCCTTTTATAGACTGACCTATTTTTACTGTCTTTTCTATCTAAACAATTTGCTACCCTTCACCATACCGATTTGGACTCAAGAAACTCCATTCCTTTGGCAACTTGATAAGAGAAGCAAAGAAGGTCTTCAAAAGTCAGCACATTAAAATCCTCTTCTTCATCCATCTGTCTGCTTGCATGCTTAATTTTATCTGTAAAAAATAAGCAAAAGTACAAGTTTTCCATGGGCTTCCTCATTCTGATTAATTCCACTGACTGTTGTAAGGATTTTCACATGCTCCTATCAAGAACATCACAAAAAGCATCCATCTTTTGCATCCTTTGCTCAGACACAAAATAAAGGAAAAAGTATTTTCATACTCAAATACTATGTGTATCATGACCAGAAACATAAGCCTCTGGTCTTAAGTGTTGTTGAATCCTTCTCCAGCAAAATTCCTGCCAGGAGGGAAGAGAGACATATGATAGAAAGGGGCCTCCTGTGCCACTGAATCTAGTCAGGTTAGACCAATAATAAAATAAATACAGTAATAACAGAATCACTAGAGATAAAAGCAACTAATCTCTTACCTTCCTCAGAATACAGCTCAAACCCGTTTGATCCAGATGTCTCATTTATGTTTTGACTTCTTTGTGTGATTTCAAATTCATCCTCTCTGCATAGAGTTGTATTCATACCGTACTTCAGGTGAGTTCCCTTCCTGGAGTGGGTGTCACATTTTCAAAGGTTACACACAGTGGACCACATAATCTTCTACATATAAACTGTTGTGCAGTGGAAAAGCATGAACAGTTATGGCTATTAAAAATCTGGGCACAGACATGAGTCTTCTCAAAACTGGAAAGAGAAACAAGAGATTTCTCGCCTTTTGCAGTCCAGTGTGAAGAACATCATAAGGAGAATAAAATCTCAGCTCCTCCCAAGGCATTACTTATTAAAGTATGTGAAGGCACATTCTTAAGAATTCAGTAATTTCACCAGTTTACAGCACAGCTGAGAATGCAGCTTAAAAAGAGAAAGTAGCTTTATAAAGTATTAAACTGTTGCTGAATGCTTTACCTGGAATTTTGGTCCAAATGGATATTGTGGTAAAAGCTGAAGTTGTGCTGTTTAAAAATATCTGTCAGTGTCCAGTGAAACTTTTCTCTCTTGCTCCTTAAGTAGTTCAGAAGGTCACCATAGCAACAATATTCAAATATCAAGTAGATTGGTCCTGAAATAGTTGGAAATGTAAATGCCTCCTGCTATCTATAGCACCCTCCCCATTAAAGCCCTAATGATGCCTCATCTTCTCTCAGGACTAATCTGTATTAAACATCTCAAGCATTTTCCCTTCCCAGGTAGATAACCTGTATTGATGAGCAGGTAATGTTTACTGACTGTAATTATTGACTGTAATGTCCCTTTGGAAAGTCTGTGTAGTTGATTTTTCCCTGTGGTGCATCTCCCAAGGTGAATTGCAAATGCCTATGAAGGCACAAACATCCTTCCCCATACCAATAGCACCAGGAAGGACAGCACAGGCTACAAAGATGCAACATATTGTCTAAACAATACATGGTTCAAGCAAAAGATGACCTCTGCTAATTATTTTGACGGTATGAATTGGTATCCTTTGACCTACGCCCTTTCATTTATCTGCACTATCCTCATGCTCTAGAAATACCCTTTTTTTTCCATTCAGGCCACCTGAAAGCCAAGTGCGCTTGCTGAGAGGACCTATGGGAGGGAAAGACCTTGCAAAGGGACTTGTCCAGGTGGAGCACTGGTCAGGCCACTTTCTCAAGAAAGGAAAAATACCTCCAATTTACAAGCAGGCAGGCTCAGAAGAAAGGCATGACAAGCCAGCAGGAGCAGAGCGAATGGCCCAGGGAGAGCTCAGCATGGTCACACATCACCCCCGCAAAGTTTTACACTGGCATCACCACTTCTGGCTCAGAAAGACCAAATACAAATTTGTGGACATTTCTGCCAGAAGGCCCCTGTCAAGCAAGGTAGGGCACACTGTGAAAAGACTGTAAAGTCTCTCAGAGAATGGATGTGAAGTCTTGAGAGCCACGTAAATGCTTCTGAACACGGGACTTGGATAAGGCTGGAAGTGTCCCTGTCCTACCTTGCCAGACTGAGCAGGTCTCCCCTGCAGCTCTACTGCCTACACCATCACCCTTGCTGAGTTTTCCAGAAGGCAGTGGCAGCCTGTATAGTTTCAAATCAGCTAAAGCCACCAACAATGATCTATTTCTCTCCTTTCTTTTTATGCCTCAAATGTCTTTGCATGACAGTATTGCTGTTGATGCAAACTGGGGAAACAAGAGTTAACTGTTATCTTTGTTCTTTCTGAATAAATATCTGTGGCAGAAAATCTGTCAAGTTTTTCAGTGGCAGGTGTTACAGGTCATGTGGGCAAACACTGGGTAAACCCTGCCCTTTCCCTGAGGTGATCTGTTCTTTAGCCTCCCTCCACCCGCTCCTGTGCACTGCCGGACTGGCCAGAGAGGGAGTTCTTGGGACAGGAATATCCACGTATGTTGCCTCAATGATATCACAAGTCATGCAATAATTAGCGATAATATCTTGCCACTTTCATCTAAGCCCATCTTTGCTTAGTTCTTTCCATCTTCAGTTTATCTTTACATTCAGTCCTTTAAAAAGTTGTCTCTTTTTTCATTACTCGCTTCTCTCTTCTTTCTTTGTGTGCCCCCTCTTTTTTCAGTTTCTTTTCTTTCCTGTCTAGCCTTTAGCCATTTTTCCCTTTCTTTCCAGAACTTCACTGTCTGGTGAGATGCATGATTTAAAAAAGAATAAATAAAATAAAATGTCTTATGTGAACAGAACCATGTGGATACAAAGGTACCTTACACCAGATAAGCTTTTCCTTTTCGCTTAATAAACTGGCCTGTATCAGTGCCATCACCACTGCAGCAGGAAAACCTCTTCTATAGAAGGGCTATTGTATCACTCCATGCAAGTTTGATTAGAAAGGACCCATTTCTGTACCCATCCATGGCCTTAATTTTGATTTCATTTCATCTTCATCTTTTTTTGGACTGGCGCAGAACAGCAAAATTAGTTGGGCAAAGACAGACTTCAGGGGTGAAGAGGGGAACAGCAGCCTGAGGAATAGGTGATTAATTATGGCTTAGATGTTTTTAATACTGCTTTCAGGAATCAATTTTTGATGCTCTTTTCTGTTCAGGAGTACTCATTAATCTGAACATTTTAATTGGTACCTTTCCACAAGTTACCTGACACAGTACAAGCTCCTAGTAGGTTCACAATATTTTCATGGCTTCCAATGTGAGTCATCATTTTCAGCTCAGACATTAGAGCATCTTTTTCTGAAGCATCAGGTTTTTCTGTAAAAGTAACACAGGTTTGGAAATCTCCAGCAAAGGATTAAAAATGTAAATGGTTGTGATGCTTTGTCACATGCAACTCTTCATTTCAAATTAATTGGACTGAAAGTACATCCTAAAAATTTTTGTACAGTATAAAAAAATTTAGCCAAAGGTGGAAAATAAATGTGTGTGTGATAGTGTATCATTTGAATGCTTGGGAAAGCAGTCATAAAATGCTAATGCTTGTCATTCTTAGGCTGGCAAGGAATGTGAGCACGGTATTAAGGTATTCACAACCACAGAAATAATGGCAGTCAACCCTGTTGGAGAGAAATGTTAAGAGAAAAAAATGTCTCAACAGCCATACGGCATACAACAAGTTGTGATCCAATAGCTAAGAAGGCCACCCTGTGTTTCAGTAATAACTTCAGGCTTGCTTTTCAGCAAACATTCGGTCCTCGATCTCAGTGAATTGGGAATGTGAACCAAAATGATCAAGATATCAAGATGAACTACCATAAAGACAACTGCAAAGCAGCAGACCAAGGAAGTGCAAAGGTGATGAGCAGCTACAAATAGGAGATGAAGAGGTGGATGGCAGTGCTGGCTGGAAGGGACTGTGTGGGCACACAGGTGAGCAGGGTGCCGATGCTGCTGCTGACATGAAGCTCATCCCATTATGTATCAACAGGGTTGTGCTACTTGGGACCCAGTGAGGCAGCCTTCCTCCTCTGCTTGCTGCTGGGGAGGCTCACTTCTGGACACTGCTTTTTTGAGGGGTCAAGACAGTTTGGAGAGAGGCCAGAACAAAGCAGCAAGGAGGATTAGAGGTTTAAGAAGCATGACCCATAAGGAGGGATGGAAAGAAATTGCTTTGTGTCATCAGGAAGAAAAGACTACAGGAAGATGTGCTGGAAGTTTTGCAAACAAGTGAGCTCAGACACATGAGGCAAAGGGAGGTGCAACAGCTAGATAGCACTACAAGAAAAAGGGACCTTACACCTAAGTCCACAGAGTCACCAAAGTGACCAGCAGGCTAATCTGCGCTATGAATTTGCATTCATCCTCTTTAGAACAGAGCAGCTCTGTCCTTCCGCACACAACACAGATCTATGACGTGTAGGACAAAATGCCACATGCTGCAGGAAGAGGCACTTCAGCAATACCTTTCCAAACTGAAACAGAATTTTCAAAACATTTTGAAACCAAGCATTTGTGAGGTGTAACTGCTACAAGTCTATATATAAAGGGATTTCCAACACCACTTCTGCTTTGGAGACGCTAGAATACATCACTGCTTGCAAAAGGCACCCAGAGTTTATCGTACCTTTTAGCATTTTGACTGCAACCTGGACTGAATCTCCTGCATTGCTAATTCCATAAGCTGTTGCATTCACCACTTTCCCAAAAGCCCCAGAACCGAGGACCTGTCCTACAAGACACAATATGTCAATATTATTTGCAGCTGCTACAGCACAGGCTACTACTCCAGCATTGTGGGTTGCTTTGTGGACTGCTCACCAAATTCCAGATTTTCCCTGGGAAATTCCCATTTGAGATCATATTCAAATTCTCTGAAGTCGATGTAGATGTACTCATTATCCCGTGGGCCTATCATCTGAATCATTTGCAACTGGCTTTCATATCTAAATTGCTTTGGAAGAAAAAAAAAGTGGAATAAATGTTAGAGAAGAAGAAACAGCCTGGTAGGAACAAAAGAAGAAGGGGCAGGTATTTATGTTTGCTTTTACCTTTTTGTATTTATGAAAAATGAATACAAACAAAAAAACCATCAATAGGAGGAAACATCCAACAGAGACATAGAATGCAGTGTTGTCTGGAGGGGAAGAAACAGCTCCTGCAACTTTAAAAGAGGTACACATTACTATCCACTGAATCAGAGCTCATATGTACAGCTAAAGGTGCAAGGAGAACCCACAGTGGCTTCATCAGTTCTGCCAGTTTGCAGTCCTCTCACACCTGAACCTCCTCTGCACGGGGAATGAGACGGAGCCATGTGCAAAGCAAGGAGCTGGGCAGGAGGCATTAAGTGCTGGGTAATTCTGATATCTGTTTTCATTCCAAAAAAATGCTGCACCAATTAATATATCTAAGTGCACAGAGGTGTTGGTGTGATCCATAGATTGGACATTGTGAACATAAACAGGAATAAACAATTCCTCTTCTCATTGCGTCTCCCTTCTCTCCCTGTACCTTCCCCCAAGCAATGTATGTCAGACACCGAAGCATGAGTTATCAGTGGATGGGCTGTATAAAACCTGCTCTGAGCATTGCTCTGCTGCTCAGCCAGAAACTCTCTTAACAAGTCAAGACCGTACTATAAGGTGCCAGTGGGTAAGTGAGTGTTACATGAAACCTACCATCATACCCTGGTAGTTTCTAAGGGCATAAGTATTACGCTTACTTTCTATTGTAATTTCAACATAAATGTTCAAATTCTATCAGTGGTTACAGCTTCTGCCAGATGTAGTCAAAAGCACCAAACAGCTTGTTTATCCATGACAAAGGAAATCTCTGTACTGCAAATATCTGAGTGCTTCAAAACATTTCCCAGGTGCCGCAGCATGTTCCCCGTAACTGAAATATTTTGCCCTATGGGACGTAGAAAGTGTTACAAGTATAAAGTGCATGGACAAATAATCATATTGATTTTCTCATTCAACAAGGAAAGAGTCTCTTATGTTCCCTACAAGAAGAGAGACTGTACAGTGGTTCCCAGAGCAGGGCTTAGCCTTGGTACTGGAACAGGTTGACCAGAGAAGTTGTGGATGCCCCCTCCCTGGAAGTGTTCAAGGCTAGATTGGATGGGGCTTTGAGCAACCTGGTGTAGTGGAAGGTGTCCCTGACCATGGAAGGGGGGTTGGAACTAGATGATCTTTGAGGTCCCTTCCAACCCAAACCATCCTATGATTCTATGATTCTGCCACCTGGCTACAGCAGTTTAAGAACGCCTCTCTCCCAGTACTCGCTCCTGCTTCCCAGACAGGGACTGACCCTTGAGCGGGTCTGTTGGCTCAGTCATGCTCTTGCTCAGGCCTGCAATAACCTCCATGGGGTGAGGAGAGCTCCCATGGGCATTTCTGGCAGCGCCACAGTGACCTGTAGGAGAGGAACACGAGCCAACACCTGCCACCAGCTACCTAAGTGGCTTCAGCTCCTCCCAAAGTTGATGCCTCCAGGTTTCATGTAGAGATTACTAAAAGGAAATAAAAAATTAGACCCCAACATTGCCATGGCTCCATCCTGCACCTGCTATTCATGTGAAATTTCCACTTATTTTAATGAGGGAGGCCCCTGCTTTGGGACCAGGGAAGAGAGACACGTGTCTCCCATTCACCCACCATTTCTCACACTGTATACACCCAGCACTTGTGTTTTACCTGCAATGCCACTGCATTGTCAGCCATTTCGTCAGATAAGAAATATTGGAAGTTCTACCATGCCAGCTTTAATTGGAAAACCTGTGCTAAAGCACTGGCTTAGGGTACCTGACAGGTTAATGAAACTCTTTTCGCAGGCTGAACCGGCAGAATTGTTTGCACAGCACTCGATAGAGAAGCTTGTTGTTGTCTCCTTTACATCTAAAGCACTGCTTGAAATCCATGACCCCAGGGATCTCCTCTCTGGCAAGAAGCTGTGAATCCCCTCAGTGATTTCTTCTGTACAGCTGAAAAAGAAAGGAGACCAGTTCTGATTTTTGGCTCACAGTGGCATTTTCCAAGGGAGAAGGTGGGATGTTTCAAAACATACCTTACATCTGTGTTGGAAGGGAGGGAGGGAGGGATAGATGGGCTTGGTTTTTGTCACTGTTAGAGTGAGACTTCAGAGCAGTTGCCAGTCTCATTTGTTGGTGACGGACATGGTAGGGTCAGTGGGAGGTGAACTGGGCTCCCTACCTCCTACACTGGGCTCACTCCCACTCTCCACCACTGCCCTGGCAGGGCATCTACACTCCCTGACCTCCGGGACCTCCACCAGTTTCACAGCTGACCCAACCCCCACTACCGCATCTATTGCCACTGGTTTCACCTTTACCTCAAACACTCAAAACACCGAGCAGCCTCAAATCAGCCGCTACTAAAACAATAAATACAAAATGAACCGACAGTAAAAGCTTTAACTCCTTTCCCTGAAGGTATGTGATTTCAACCACGAACTTTCTCTCACTCAAGATGGAGAGCATCTACCCTGTATTAATGACTTATTTAAGACCAGATATGTAGAAAGAGGGAACATTATACTCAAGGGAAAGAAAGACCACACAGAGATAATTTTGACTTTTAGCTTTTCTATCATTCATCAACTTACTGCCTAATTTACTCTCCACATAAATAAATGAGGAAGAAAGTAAACAAGTAAAATTTATTCAGCTTGACACATTGTACTAGCTTCTACATGTGGAAGTTCCCAAGAAAAGGAATGTCACAGCATTTTCTTTCCAGAAAGCTGTTTTAAGGAGTATTTTAAACTCACTAGCTGGATGTTTTCTTTCGTCTTCCATTTCTGCACAAACAGATTGATGTTAGGAAGCCTTTTCAGAGGTATGGATGAGAAAATGGTCTAGATAATTTTTTTATATCTAGTTAGAATACTTAAAGCTTTATCCACAATCTTCCAAAAGATGATTTGACCCAGTATTCTTCTGTAACGTGGGATTATTAGTTTTTTGGCACATCTAAAATAAAAGCTGCAGAGTTCATAAGACAGCTGAAAGCTGTTTCAGCATCTCTTGAAATTTTAGGGCCTGACTCACTGCCCTAAATAAATAGAGGAAATGGAAACACTCTCACTAACTTTACTGGAAATACTCTCACTGACTTTACTGGCTTTGGTTACAGGTCACTGTAACAGCTGTATTAACCAAAGCTTAACCAATTAATGAAGCCCATATTAACCAATGCATTCCCTGAATGCCCTCTAAGTTTGACAGGACAAGAGAAAAAACTTTGATTGGACTTTGTAACTACCAAACTGTTGATACAAACCCAGTGGGGTTTATCTCAGCGTAAAGACCCTGAGATACAGATCTTTATAGACTTCATTTGATGCCAATAAAATAATTGAAAACTTTCCCTAGTTTTGGTGATCCAGTTGCCCTGGAGTGGGCCACCCTGTCCCCCTGTACAAATGGTTGAGGGTGCATTTTACACTTAGTTTCTTACAGGCCAGTCTCATTTAACTGAGGATAGCTCAGATATGGTCTTTGCAATGAATCAAAAAGAGGGAAAATTGTTTACTTGGATGAATTTAGTTCAGGACAGTTCCTCCAAACCCAGGATGAGGCAGGGTAACTGTCAGCGACGCAGGAGATCTGCTTGAACAACAACTGCATCGTTACTTTGGGCTTTCCTGCAACAAGATAACGCAAGACAATTTCTGTCAGCACTTCAGTAACAAAAACCTTTATCTTTATGTGGCAATGCTACATCTGCCAAGACCAAGATCTGCTTCTGTGTTTTCAAACTATCCCACCAACATGTCACTGTGAGAGCTGGGTGCAGCTTTCAGTCCTCTTTCCTGCAGCCCCACACCTTGGTTCTGTGGAATGGCAGTATGGGCAAGGCAAGGGGAGCAGCCACTTCTCTTACGGGCACAGCCAGACCAAAACAGTGGCAGAGCCGAAATTAGAAGTCTTGACTTCTGCTTTTCTGACTTGGAGCAAGCAGTCAGCCCTAGAACTCTCCTGATGCCCCCATTCTGGGTGTCCGGCTTGTACAAAATGTGCGTGAAGGATCCCTGTATAAATAATAAATAATGCTCCTACCAGTGAGAGCAAGGGTGAGATGCTGCAGTCATGTGGCAGAACTGAGATAACCAAGAGCACCAGGCAAGACTGTGCGTGTGTGCAAATCATGGGCAGGGGCATATGAAGCAGCACAGCCCTAACATATGTGTCACACACCAAAGGGACCCCAGACTAACTACATTAACTCACAAATGCCATTAGAAAAAAAATTACATAAACACACCATAGAAAGCTAACACCTGATGAGGATAAGTGTTTTCTCTCTCTGTGTATCTCATGTGGTCTCTACAGCAGTCACATATATTCCGCCTCTGTAGAGTTAGAATACAGTCACTGTATTTTACCGAGCTCCTACGCTTTGTGGTTTTCTTAAGAAGCATTAATTTTCTCACTATATGACTAATTTCTCATATTCTGTCCTCTCTGTTTATGGCAGACTAAAGGGAAGAAAAAAAATTAATAATTTCTTCCTCCTTCCTTTGTTCTCCATCCCTAGCCAACACAAAAAACGTCACCCAGAAGCAGCTGGCATCCTTCTCTGACCCAGTGCCTGGATTTCAGTAGTGCAGCACAGATAATCACATTTTTGCCTCATGCTCCTCCATTTTTAAAGATAAATCTATGTAAATGAAATGGGGAATACCAAGGGGAAAGCAACTTATTAGTTCCATTCCAGTGGCAAAATCCCAGACTTCGCCATACCTTCACAGGGATTGTTTTCTCACTTACTTCTCACATACAGAGTGAATTTTTTTGTCATGACCGTATCATCATTTTCAGCATAAAATACATATATCCCAGACTGGTGCTGATGGTTGCAGAACTTTGACGAAATGCTGTGGAGCAAAGAAAAGACAGGAAAAGGACAAAAGACTGACTTGAAAAATATTTTAAATGTAGTCAAGACTTATATATACGTTCAAAACAATTCAACATCTTCTAATGAGGAACCCAGACTAAATTATATTTCATTAGAGAATATAAACCCCAGAATGTAACTGTTTTGACAAAAGGATTTTTTTTTTCCTGCAGTATTGATTTCATTCTGCAATTTTCCTTGTGGTTCCTGGAGCACATGTGGGCTGTCAGGCTGTGATTTTGTTATCAGTCCATTGGAAGTCAAGGTATATAACACATCCTGGCACAGATGCTAAGATGTGCAAAGGATCGACCTCTCTACTTTCCAAAGGATTTTGATGGTATTTTCTAGCTGATATGATAAACAGTATTAGGAAATAACAATGACAGCTAGGATCATACAAGATAAACCTCTCCAAATGGAAAGATGTGACAGAAACTCAGAAATGAGATCATCATCAGAAGTTTATTATCAATGAGACAAAGCACCAAGCATCAAGATATTTCTGCAGGAGGAACGCCAGCCTTCTACTAACCCCTATGGCCATGGCAGCAAACCAAGACCCAAACCATGCAGGAAGTGACTTGTGACAGTGGAAATGGTGAGGGAGGGCTTTACCAAGTCCCTGGGCAGAAGCTAACAAGGGAGGACTGCAGAGACTTAAAGATTCCTGCACGACTGACCTGTTGAATCACTGGCTTATGGGGCATGGGATGAGGCAGGGAGAAGGGAATACAGCATCTTACAGTTTTAGCAGACTACTCAAGGAAAACTGGGTAGGAGGCCCTCAACTCAACTTTAGTGGTAAAGGCAAGCAGGCATATTAGGGAGTTTGAGGCAGACAGAAAAACGACAGCATATACCAGTAATTTGCAAAGTAAGAGAAAGCAGTAATGAGCTTGAAACAAGAAATCTAGATAACTAAAATCAGGGTGTTTCTCATTAAGCAAGATACATACAAAAACTAAGACACCAAGTATCACCTTGCGACTCTAAAGCAAGAAAACTCACACTGAAGCCGATGGCAATTTTGCCTTCTGACTACGGCAACACCTCCATATAGTTATTGACTTTTGAATGTCTTAATCTGAAATGGCCTTAAAGATGTCCCTGAACTCAGGGACTTTTTAAAATCAGACCCCTTTAAAGCTGCCTCAAAATGGATACTGAAGACAGGAGAAACCACAAATAATTGATTGCTTTTGAAATCCTAGGTCTGAAGGATTTAATGAGAAAATAACTAAAAAAGAGTGTCTTTGATACCTGAAAATATAAGGCGATGCGAGATAAATATTATAGATTTAACAGAGGTCATTCTGTGTATGAAAACTCATTTGCTCTTAGGAGGGAAGTGAAAATCAGCAGTGTGCTAAAACAGAGAAACAACAAAAGCAAATAGAAAATGGAAATTCTGAAGGAATCTCTGAAAACATGTAAGGCCACTGACAGGAGAGATGAATCCTTGGGCCTTGAAATTAAAAGCTAAAGAGGGGGACAGAGTTAATTAATAAAATTTAATATGATCTATAATCAGGAGGAACAATTTGATAATGAAATGGCAGAAATCGAAAAAAAGAAAAACAGGAAATGAAAAAGGATATGAAAGGAATAAAGTAGAAGTGTTGGGAGATGGGATTACACAGAAGTCAACTAAAAAATGCAGTTAGACCCTCAATACGTTAAGGTACGTGATGACCTTTTTTGTTTTATTTTGAGAAACCTTCTGCTGTAAAATCACATTGAAATCTGCGGTGCTACAGCTTGTAGGCAGAATCTCCTGACCTCCCTACCCCTTGTTGCTTCTGGGGACTTCAGACTGTATCTACCCCTACTCTTTTTCCTCAGGTGAGACGTGTCTATCCAATGCTAGTAGTCAGCCGAAACTGGACAGCTGTGGGGGGTGTTTGTACAGAAGAACGTACTTGTCAGATGAAATAATCACCAAATTAATGTATTTTTCCCTCAGTTGTATTTTTCCATAAAATAAACAGAATGGTAAGTAAATGCAAAGTATAACTAACTAAAATGAAAATTAAAAAAAAAAAAAAAGAAAATTAAAAAAAGAAAAAAGTATTTAATCAACAGGATAGTCAACGAATGGCTGAGTTGTCTGTTTGAAGAGGTGAGGCGGCCGTGACCATGGCTCTGGCCGGCGTTGGGCTGGCTGCGGCTGAGCCAGCCCAGGATGCGCTGCTCCAGGGACACGGGCTGGACTTTCCCCTGCCCGGCAGGTGGTGATCAGCACTCAGCAACCACCACTGCTGGCTGCAAAGGCTATCGGAAGTGACTCATAAATCCCAGGCCACCAGCAACTGTCCCTTACTGATTGCTGAGGGTTACCGAAGCTGTTTCAAAAGTTCTCAAAACTGTTATTGTTGGCCCAGTCCGTAGCACCTTATTATCTGGCTTGAATTTACACCAGCTGTCAATCATCCAAGCAAAACTGACTCTTACTCTTAGAAGCAGTGAGAAGAGGTCCTGGACATACCAGCTGCAAAGCACATCAACTTGGCATTATCAGCTGGAGGGAGGTACCTATTGCACAAGGATAAGCAAATGCTCATGGCCATCCCCCGAGACCTCATTTCCAAAATCAGTCTTGACCACAAAGAACAGATCTGCCTACACCATGTCAGGCCCTGCAGATTAGTCACCAACACCCATCCAATGCTGTCAAAGTTTGCTGACAGCCCTCACTTTATCAGCAGGGACAGAGTTCCTGTGGCCATTGCCAGGAGATGACAATTTACTAATCTGAACTGAGCTGTCTCTGAACCTCATGAAGGTCTGACTCCAATACACTATCTGATGCAGATGAAAAGGCCAGACTGTTGCAAAGATGACTTGACATGCTAGCTGATAAAATCGCATGCACCAAAATACTAAGGAAAAAGATAATAAAAAGTGTAGTCAAGGCTGTAACACAGTTTTATGCAGTTGCTAAGAGAGGTTTTAAGAATGTGAGAAGAAATCAGTGCATTAACTCCTGCCTAGGTTCTGCTTGGTTTTAAAGCTAAAACTTTAAAAGAGCAGCTTGGCTTTATCTTCATTGAGGTGGATAAGAGCTGTTACCTTGAAAGCCATGGGACTACTCTGAAAGAAACTCTGAAGGAAATTAGATAATGTTATCAAGAAATTAGAAAGCCTAGGGAATGGAGAAAACATTAGCCTTAAACAGGATTCATGCCAGAACTTCATTGTAGGAAATAACAGAAAAGGTAGATAACTAACAGGTTTATTCAAAACATGTTTTGCAGCAGCGGAAGAATACATGACCTGGGTAATGAGCAGAACGGTATGTTTCTGTGGCACAGGCAGAGCCGAACAGATCTAACGGTGGCCTGGGAAACTACAGGGCCCTGGACTTGATTTGAGCAGTTTGAAAGACACTGGGAACATCATCAAGAACAGGATGACACAAGGTGAACATGTAGAACTTGTGATCCAGTATGAAAACTGCAACAGATCTGTAACTGAGAAAGTATGTCAGAGGGAAATGGAATGGCAAAATGCATATAAACTAAAAGGTTGCTGGATGCATAACTTACCAAAGGATTTATTATAACATGGAGAATAAAGTGATTCTAGACGTTATCTACATGAACTGCTGTTGAAAGCCAAAATAACGTTTGAGTGGCTTTTGTTAATACAGCTTCATCACATGGCCCATCCACATTTTAAAAACACAGACTACAGAACATGGACAGTAAACAGTCCAAAGGAGATTTAAAAAGGAAACATTATTATACCAAATTATTCCAAAATATTCAGGTACCTGCGTCCATCCACACTGTAACTTTGTTTACATGGAAATGTTTTTTGGGAAAATAGCCACATGCATCTAACTGGTGGATATGCTGTAAAGTTAACTTCGAAGCAAAACTCTTCCTCACCAATTTCAAAATCTTCTTTAGAGTCAGTTATATTGATAAATCCCTTTTCTGGAAAAAAAAAAAAATTGATATTATATTACAAAGACTGGACTGCTTAATGAAGTAATTTTGACATGTGTATGTTTTTTGTTTTGGTTTTCACAAGCAAAAGTAAGCACCATTTTACATCACAAAAGCTATCATGTTAATCAAAATAAGATAATGCTTCAAAATAGTATTGAAATTACGTCCCTGTGTTCAGCTGCAGACAAATGATCTGAGCCTGCTGAAGTTGCATATTTGGTCAGACTAGAGCCCTCCTAAAATGGTCTGACATTTCTCCCCCATCCACCTTACAGAGCTGCAGGGTCAACAATGCCATTATCTGTTTGGTTTGGTTTAGGTTTGTGTTCCAGGTGTTAATAGATGCATCTCCTGGGTTTCCTCTAACAGGGAACAAAAACAGCTGGCACCACCAGCATAATCAGATGTTGATAGTGGTTGTTTCTCCTTCCCTGAAATGAGCTGAAGATTTTCCAAATTAATCTTGTAGCTGCTCCTTTATTTCTCCATCTATATTAGACATATTTGATGCAAGACAACAGCAACATGAAAAAGTGTTTTGAAGATGTGCGTGAACCATGAGCTGCTGGTACCTGCCCTGCTAGGGTGGGATTAGTTTCCCCTAATGGAGCTGCCTGAAGTTCAGTGACCCACCTAAACTACTTGTTTGTACCTCTGATAAACTCAGTGGAATGAGACAGGGATGTCCAGATGTATCCCATCCTAAAATAGAAGATAACAAAGATGTACTGAACTGCTTCTGGAAATATCTGTTTCTTGACACCGACTGTTGAAGGAACCAAAGTCATTGCTGGGGCTAGATGTCATGTGAATTGAAAACAATCCCACCCAAGGAGACTGAACAGCAGATGCATGTGGGAGGAAGCTGTCCTAAAGGCATCAGTGGAGCTAGGATGAGCTCTGTAAAAATCACAGAATTGTATACATTGGAAGAGATCTCTGGAGATGTCTAGTCCATCTCCTGCTCAGAGCAGGTCTAGCTAGATAAGGTTGCTCAGAGCCGTGTCCAGTTGAGTTTGGGTATCTCCAAGGAAGTAGACTCTGCAGCCTCTGGGAAACTTGTGCCAGTGTTTAATCAGCCACATGGTGAAAAACTGCACTGTAGAAATATTGCTGGACTGGGTTTTTCCTTTTGAGTGTTTTTCTTCTGGTTGTAACCCTATATTCTGCTTGGCGTGTTTTATCTCTGTCTAGCTTACTGGTTTAAAAAATACTATCTGGAAACTCCCATATAAACCACAAAAATTTCAGTATTTTAAACAAAGAAGCAATTCCTTTCATGACTGTTCTCCTGCTTTTTGATATTAAAGGCTTATTGGTTTTATAAATTGAACCTTCATCTTTTGAATGATCTTTTGGACCTCATCCTTCCAGCTGGAAGGTCATCTCTGTGTGTACTGTTAACACCACAACCGGCCAAGAGTAAAGGCTTTCTTGAGAGTGCACACAAGGACCTTGGAGCAGGGTATGCCATTTCTCTGGAAAACAACTCAGAAAAAGTAGTTTCTTCCTTGAAGGGGAAAGAAAATAGCACATTATTGTTTGGCTTATCATTTTTTTGGCAGGTTTAAGTGTATTTCTGCCAGAGAAACAGTGAATGTAATTATTCAGTAATGACAGAGAGGTGGGATGAAATTCTTGAGACTGGAATCAAAGTTTTCAAGTCTCTGTATTTATCGTATTTGTGTATTTGTTGCTTTAAACCTAACATGTGTTGAAAAATAGCATCAAAATTGCACAGTGTTAAAAATTCCTTATTCAACACTGGTAGAAATTGAGCATAAGAACTGCGGAAACAAAGAGCCTTGGCAGCTGCAGTTGTGGGCATGATCTCTGTTGTGCTTTAAAGTGGCCCAACCACCCTGCCTGACTTGACCAGCTACACAAGATGGAGTAAGTTGGTGAAGTGTTGGTGAGCAAAGAGCAAACCAGAGCTGTCTGGCTGCAAGGCGTTATTAGAGATTAGAAGACCACTCATCAATGTAGTTATGCTAGCCAGGCTCCCCAGGCAATGCAGTATGTGCCAAACAAATCAGTTTTCTCTTGGTTAAGTTACATCATGACCATTCCCAGTGTAGCTATGGGTGCTAATCATGCACAGTGATGGTTTAAAGGTAGGACCCTGGTCATTTCAGAAACTGCTACCCTATGACATGGACAACTGCGTGAAATCTGTACCTGTATCACTGCCAAAATTGAACCTGGGATGCTAGCACAAATTCACACCAACAATGGTTATCATTAATACATTAGGCTAAAGGCTGGGGTGGATCAGAAGCACAGGATGTCCCTGTATAACCTTGGAGAGAGAAACATGGCTGTTAGCTAGGTACAACAACATCCCCCCATTTTAATCCACCATAGAATCATAGAATCATAGAATCGTTTAGGTTGGAAAAGACCTTTAAGATCATCCAGTCCAACCATTAACCTACACTACCATGTAAGTAAACAAACAGATTTCTTCATCAGCAAAGCCAATGAGCCCTCAGAATTTTTATTGGCATAAGGGGTATTAAGGAGGGTACAGACAATCATTGTAGTTTGGTGTACCCCAGTCAAAAAATACCCCACTCAGAAATACAGCCTTCCAGGGACAGTGGCTCAAATATCCCCTGTTAATGTGACACATACTCATACCTCATAGTTCATGGATCCAAGAAACCACTATTTCTGAACTGGGCACCAGTATTGAGAAAGAAGAGGACCTTGCCCTACCTCTACACTACCGCCTCAGCCCTACCTTCCTGTTTACTAAGAAGATGCGTGCAGAAAAAATGCCCAGGTATCGTACTCAGTTATTGTAAATGACGACAGAACTTCCTGCTCAGTGGTAGGCAGAAGCTGAAAAGAGGATATTGCACTGGGAAAGTAATTTCTGAAGAGACTGGGGTAAGTATTCTCACTTCCTACCATTCCTAGCCTAGGTGTTGTAAACTCTGAAAGCAACTACATCTAAGGTCAAACACGTGGTGAGTGCTTCAGAGCACCTTGTTCTCAGGGCTACATATTCCAACTCCAGGTACACCAGTTGGAAAAATACTCCTAGTGCCTACTCCAGCAGCATGGTCCTAACTACAGCTTTCCTTTTTATGCCTTACTTCCAGACATACCTATTTGTATATTATTTCCAGCTGAGAAACAAAGTTTGCAGTTGAGGCTGCTCTGGACTAACTTCAACACCGCTGGCTTTTAAACCAACATGTTGCTTAAATAGAATGAGGTTTCCTTTGGTACACTTTTGCTTTTTTAAATTTTCAGGCCTTGTGTAGCTTGATGTTAGGAGGATGGTTCCCTTCAGTGCCTGGAAAGCAGGAGACATGCAGAACAAACAATAACACTGGAGTAGTTGTCTCTAGTTTCAGGTTTTCCTTCAGATCCATCACAGCTGCAGCAGCACTTCTGCATGGCAGTTTGACAGCTCTGTCAGCACTCGTTATTCATCATCTCTCTGGGCTTACAATCTCCATTAACACAAAAGCTTTCATTTCTCTTCTGCTACCAGCTCCACAGATTTCAGAGCTAAAATTCTTCCCCAGATCTGCTTTCCCATAAAAAATTTGGCAAACTCAGATGGCCACTTGTCAGTCACTCCCCCACCATAAGAGGAAGCAGTCATTTCTCGTTTGTTCTGGGTTTTGGGTTGGAGAGCCCACCACCAAGAACCTTCTAATTGTTTGATTCCTTCCTGGCACACCCAGGTCAGGCCTGGTACAGATTTGCTATCTGCTTTTTTTCTGTATAACAGCAACAAGCACCTGAAGGGACCATGCAAAACAGCAGAGCAGAGGCCATGAGAACCTCTGCCTTACCTCCCCACCTCCGAAGGTGCAGCAAAGGTGGGGTAGAGGTGCCGTACGTGGGTGAAGGGAGATGGAGTGGGAGAAAGTGGTCAGGAGGAGGCTGAGGCCATGGCTGCAGCTTTTCAAAAACCATACTGGAGACACAGCAGGACAATTCTGTCTCACATTAGTCAAAACCAGTCACTGATCGTTCCGGACTCTGGCCAAACTAATACATGGAGCATTAATAGCAGAACACACAGGGCAGGTCATGCATTTTATATTCTTGGGCAGCTCCAGAATGGTGTTTTCTGCAGTGCTTTAACTCTGCTTTGCATCTGCTCCGCAGCTGCCTACATCTGAGTTGGTGGCACAGAGAAGGGCTACACAACTACACTACTCCCCCCTGCCCAGGAAACCCAAGGCATTGGGTCCTCTGGGGAATATATAGCTTTGAGTCCCCACAAAAAGCCACTATGGCTTTGTGTCACACTGGCTGAGAGTCACCTACAATAACATCAGATGAATCTCAGCCTGCGTTTCTAGACATACCATTGAAACAATCACATAGACTAGACCTCTAAACAGTGCCATTTCATTTCACTTCTAAAAGCACTCTCTTTTAATGGGAATTATTTGAAAAGCAATATAAAGAAAAGGTTTATTATCTTCAGGTACCAGAATGACAGTTCAGATAATCTCTTGGCTTTCCTGGACTGCCAGTAAGTGCAGACAGAATTTTTCCTTAGAAAAGGAACTATAAAACATACGCTGCATACCTGCAAGCAAAGAACTGCCACATGGAAAACAAAGCAAAACAACCAACAAAGGGACAAAAGTAATACCGGGGGTTGGAATTACCTAAAACTGTAACCAAAGCAGTTTGGTTCAGATGAACTGTAGAAGAACAGGTGTAATGTCCACTATCACTTCTTCCTGCCGCTGAAGCAAACACATACTGGATCCGAATTGCCGAGCGATCGGTTTGATATTCTAATCCTCCAAACTGACGATCCTAGTTTTCAACACAGATTCCCATTTAATCAGCTGATAGTGCCCAATATTACCTATTTTCAAATATGCCCTGTCTTCTTACCTGCTCAACTTCTTTGTTTTCAAAAGATAATTTTATTCTGAATTTATAATTATGGTAAACAGCTCTGCATCTGATCAGCAATGGTTCCCCAACTTTAAGAAGTAATTCAGGTAAAGGTGCTGCTTGTCTCTCATTTAAATCTACAAAATCAAAACATTGTCACTGAAGCAACAACTGTCACTTTGCCTGGAAAAATGCTCATTTAGATCTACATTTTTTCTTCTACTGTTGCACAGACATCCATTATTATATTGTAATGATAATTAGAATTTGGGAAAAATACTCATTGATCATGAAATCAGTAAATTTGATGGATTTAGATGTCTAAAACCAAAGTTTGTCATAATTTACAAGATATCTATAGGGCACAGTTCAGAACACAGTTTAGTTTGGGTCAGGTTTATTTAAAAAAACAGACAAACCTACCTGAATTTATATACTTATTTATAATTATTTATAAAT